CAGCCCCCACCCTTTAGGTCAACCTCAGAATGCCCCAGTGTAGACAGCCACAGACATGGGCTCCAACCAAATTGTCTCTGGCAGTGCAAATCTTGCCCAACAGAGAGGGATTCAGGGGCAATTCAAAGCACAATTGGAACCAGGGATCCACACTCCCACCCTCCAGATTCAGTTCATCCTATTGTCTGGCTCTCTGCTCACAGGCCCAGCTAAAGCCAGGGGTAACACCCCTGCCCACCAGTCTCAGTCCGCACACAGCTAGCCTCTGGAGTAAGGTCTGGAGTAGTGCCTGCCAAACAAGTTGGAGTCAAGGGACCACACCCCCACTTGCCAGTCTCAATCAACTGCCTGGCAGACCACTGTTTGCAGTCTCTGTTGGAGTCAGGACACTAGGCCTGCCCTCTGGTATCAGTCCACACACAGCTAGCCTCTGCTTGCCAGACCAGTTGGAGTCAGGGGACCATGCCCCACCTGCCAGACTCAGTCCACTGCCTGGAAAGCCTCTGTTCACAGGCTCTGTTAGAGTCAGGGCACCACACTCCACCCGCAGGTCTCAGTCCTTACCTGGTAAGCCTCTGCTCACCAGCCCAGCTGGAGGCTGTGGAGTATGCCCTAGCCCTCAGGACTTGGTTCACACCCAGTAAGCCACTGCTAGAGGCTTCTGACAGAGTCAGGAGACCACACCCTTGCTCTCAGGTCACAGTCCACTCCTATTAAGCCTCTGCTCACAGGCCCAGCAGGAACCAGCCCTGGCTGCCAAACTCAGTCCACATGGAGCAACTACTCTCCTGCTGTGTGTGCTGTCATGGCCGGGGTTCTGCACCCTGTCCTGCCAGACACAGCCCAAACCAAGGGTCAACACTACCACTGGCTGGGCATAGTCATAACCAAGGGACTTCTCCACCTCCCACCGAGTGCCCCTTTCTTTCCACACCCTCTTTCTTCCCTGTTAGTCACAGATTTCATCTTGATGTTTGGCGGTCCACACTATGCCCAGGTCTCTCAGGACAAAACCAAACACTCTGTGCTCTGCAGGGGGGGCAGAACTTCAGACCGCCATGTGACGGGGAAAGGGTGGACTGGGAGTTTGTACTTGTGGGGGAAAATATGTTCAATTTTATGCCTGGCAGGGTGATGTCTAGGTTCATAAGCAGGATCTCCCTGGAGAAAGAGACCTGGGGTTTAGTGGCTCTCTCCACCGAGGTAAAATGAGAGGTCTTTTGTTCCCTGCTTGTTCTCAGATAGCCTGCAGCAGGCCTCCTGCTTGTGGGAAGGGTCTCCCATCCTCTAGTCAATAGGCTTTGTACCTGTATTTTTGGGGATTTTTTGAATGCTGTTCCTTGGAGTTACAGCTTGCTGAACTTCCGTCTTAGCTCAGCTCCCCATCTTTGGCTTCATAGAGTCTGATTCTGCCCAGTTTTTCTTCCTTTGCTCAAGAGCCTCTGACAAGGTTGCTACCAGTTGGCCATATTCCCAGAATTCCCTTCTTATTTGATTTTTAAGGGAACTTCCACCCCTCGGAGGTGCCTCACACATCACCCACCACACTTTACCATCAGCCCTCCTCCTTCCTTGCCCTGCATCTGCAGCCAAGACATGGAAGGGCCAAAATCTTGCTTTCTATTTTCCTGTTTATTAGTTTTCATAATAGAAATATATATAGCCCCTTATCTATTAGTATTTTATTAATCCCCTCATGACTACTTTTTTGCTATGGCAGATAGTAAGGCACTCTGCTTAATTTGCAGGGTATTTGTGCAAGTTTTCAAAGACTATAATTTGAAAAGGCATTATGAGCAAAAACATGCTGCCAAATTTGATGAAGGATTGATGAAGGATTTATGAAGGATTGTATCATAAGGACAAAACAGAGGAACTGAAAAGTCTGATGTAGATGGATCACCTGAGTTCAGGAGTTTGAGACCCACCTGAGCAAGAGTGAGAGACCCTGTCTCTACTAAAAATAGAAAACTAGTCAGATGTTGTAGCAGGTGCCTATAGTCCCAGGTCCTCCGGGAATCTGAGGCAAGAGGATCACTTGACCCAAGGAGGTTAAGGTTGCTGTGAGCTATGACATCATGGCACTCTACTCAGGATGACAGAGTGAGACTCTTGTCTCAAAAAACAAAAATTTAAAAAAAACAAAGTTACAACCCAGACAGAGTCCATTGTAAAAGCCAGTTATGTGGTAGTATATTTAATAGAAAAAAATCAAAAACATTTACTGATGGTGAGTTTATATGGAAAGCATGGCATATATTTTAATTTGCCTTAAAAAAGAGAGATGG